TTAGTTTCCTGAATAGATTTTATTTATCTGTTTGGACCTTGAGCGTCTGCCTCTGAATACTCTTGCTGGTTTTATTTACACATATTTTGGATTCTCTGCGCTTGGTTTTTCATCTGCGAGACCGTCTTCTGTCGCATACCTCCCAATGGCCGATAAGATGGCACAGGGAGGGCCTTCTCCAGGTGCTGTCAACCAGACAATGCCGGCTGGCGGCTCCCCGGGGGAAGGCTTTCTCTGTAGCCGCTCCGACCCTATGGAATGAACTACCCGCAGAGATCCGGACCCTTCCCACTCTCATGGCCTTCCGAAAGGCTATCAAAACCTGGCTATTCTGGCAGGCCTGGGGCTGTTGACCTCACGACTGAGGTCCAGCCCCGATTAGACTGGGTGCATGACGTGGTTCTTTTTAATCTGTTTCTTTTGTCTTTTTAACTCTTTACTTTTTTTAAATTTATTTTCTGTAAGCCGCCTGGAGTCCTTCGGGATTGGGCGGCCTATAAATTTATTAAATCAAATCAAATCAGGGCTCTGTTACGACCATCGGTTAATCTGGGAGAGCAGAAGGAGGATCAGAGGTGTGGCCTCAAAGATTACCTCAGTCTCCAGGGCAAAAGGGCTGGGTTAATACCCATGTGTTACTCCTCCCACACCTTCCTTTAAACATGCAGTTCAGGTAAGACCAACTGCTATTCACTGTTCACTCTGTGCTGTGGTGCGATGTCATGCTGGGCACACCACAGAAATATCTTCAGACAACTCTTTGGCTTAAAAAAACAGAGATGAGCACTGCTCCCTAAAGTCAATCATGGCTTGTGGGATAAAACCCATGGGGACGCCTTTAACCTTTTCATTCTTTTTGATGCAACCTAAAACTGATTTGCCTTTTTTTGCGGCCATAACACATATTATTCTTCCTCAACTTAGCAACCAACCATCACTGTCAAAAGTGCTCTTACAAAGCCAGCTTGCCTGAATGAAGCTGAAGCTGGCACACTGCAAGGTTGCAAAGGTGATGCTGTAAGTCTCCCTGCTTTCTCCCATAGGTGTGACCATGATGGCTGTGGGAAAGCCTTTGCTGTTAGCCATCATCTGAAAACACATGTCAGGACACACACTGGTAAGACCTGGAGAATTTCTGACCCCTGAATTCTTTTATGGAGCTTAAGAAAGTAAACATGTTTGGGTGAATATTGACAGGGCCTACTAGTTTGATAAGGGTGTTGTAATTTACTACATTAGGATTCTGCTTATTAAGAGCCTAGTTCTCATCCTCTGCAGTGAATTTAGAAATATGTCTGTTGTATTCAAAATTGTGGATCTGCTGGAATCCAGAGATTGATGGACTTGGATCTTTGGTTTGATTGATACATCTATTGATTTTTTCCACTTTAGGTGAGAGACCTTTCTTTTGTCCCAGCAATGGGTGTGAAAAGGCCTTTAGCACACAGTATAGCCTCAAAAGTCACATGAAAGGACATGAAAAAGGATCCTCATACACTTTGTTCTCCAACAACAATCTCTCTGAGGTGAGTGTTTAGTTCTTCAGTTAAACATTGGTGTGCTTCATGGGCAACTGCATCAGCAAAACTCTAATCTTTTCTAGAAGTCCAGCTCCTGCAATCTTTGCAGCCAAAATTTCTCAAGGAACTATGAGTGTCAAGCAATACTCTACTCCAAAACAGGTTGATAATTAGATCTGAGCAGTACTGTAGGATAATAATATTTTTTTCTGATGCTAGGATTTTGGATCATATAAAAAAATTAAGATCGATATAGGTAGTCCTTGACTTTAGACTGCATTTGGGACTGGATTTCTGGAAATTCTGGTTACGGCTGTAAGTTAAGGCACCCAGATAAATGTACTGGGTTTTGCAACATTTTTTACAGTGATCATTAAGTAAATCACTGCAGTTATTAAGCAAATCCTCCATTGTTAACCAAATACTGCAAAAAAAAGTGTGAAGTCATTCTTTTGAATGGATGTTTTTTGCCAGAAACCGGCAAAAATAATATATCAGAGATCATAGTCATGTGACCATGGGATACTGCAACCGATTGCAAAGATGAGCTGGTTACCAGGCACCCAAAATGGGGTCATGTGATGGGGGGGGGGGGGGGGGGAAGGGATGATATTTTGC